GAGCGAAAATCTGGGCGGGTGCTCCATGTCGCGGGCAAATATCAGTCTGCCTGGGCGAATTCCGGGCGAGTGCTCCATGTGGCCTCGGGTGAATGTCAGTCTGCCTGGGCGAATTCCGGGCGAGTGCTCCATGTGGCCCCAGACGAATGTACAAAGCACAATGTCTATTTATAGCTATACCACAAACACACACTAAACACACACACACACACACATTAAAAATTTCACACTCACCCAATTTCCGCCGTGGCAAAATTCTGGGCGAGTGCTCCATGCCGCGGGCGAATATCAGTCCGCCTGGGCAAATTCCAGGTGAGTACTCCATGTGGTCTCGGGCGAATGTCAGTCCGCCTGGGCAAATTCCGCGCGAGTACTCCATGTGGCCCCAGGCTAATGTACAAAGCACCTCGTCTATTTACAGCTACACCACAAACAGACACTAAAAACACACACACACATTTAAAATTTCATACTCGCCTAATTTCCGCCTGGGCGAAATTCTGGGTGAGTGCTCCATGCCGCGGGCGAATATCAGTCCGCTTGGGCGAATTTTGGGAGAGTGCTCTATGTGGCCTCGGGTGAATGTCAGTCGCCTCGGTGAATTACGGGCGAGTGCTCCATGTGGCCCCAGGCCAATGTACAAAGCACAATGTCTATTCATAGCTACACCACAAAAACACACTAAAATAACACACACATTTAAAATTTCACACTCGCCCCATTTCTGCCCGGGCGAAATTCTGGGCCAGTGCTCCATGCCGCGGGCGAATATTAGTCCGCCTGGACGAATTCCGGGCGAGTGCTCCATGTGGCCTCGGGCGAATGTCAGTCCGCCTGAGCGAATTCCGGGGAGTGCTCCATGTGGCCCCAAACGAATTTACAAAACACAATGTCTATTTATAGCTACACCACAAACACACACTAAAAACACACACACACACACACACATTAAAAATTCCACACTCGCCCCACTTCCGCCGTGGCGAAATTCTGGGCGAGTGCTCCATGCTGCGGGTGAATATCTGTCCGCCTGAGCGAATTCCGGGCGAGTACTCCATGTGGCCTCGGGCGAATGTCAGTCCGCCTGGGCGAATTACGGGCAAGTGCTCCATGTGGCCCTAGGCGAATGTACAAAGCACAATGCCTATTTATACCTACACCACAAACACACACTAAAAACACACACACACACACACATATTTAAAATTTCACACTTGCCCCATTTCTGCCCGGGCGAAATTCTGTGCGAGTGCTCCATGCCGCGGGTGAATATCAGTCCGCCTGAGCGAATTCCAGGCGAGTGCTCCATGTGGCCTCGGGCGAATGTCAGTCCGCTTGAGCGAATTCCGGGCGAGTGCTCTATGTGGCCCCAGGCAAATGTACAAAGCACAATGCCTATTTATAGCTACATCTCAAACACACACTAAAAACACACACACATTTAAAATTTCACACTCGCTCCATTTTCGCCCGAGCGAAATTCTGGGCGAGTGCTCCATGCCACGGGTGAATATCAGTCCGCCTCGGCGAATTCCGGGCAAATGTCAGTCCGTCTGGACGAATTCCGGGCGAGTGCTCCATGTTGCCTTGGGCGAATGTTGGTTCGCCTGGCACAATAAACACAACATTTCCTAAACATTAACAAATTTTAGTGTGCCAAAAAATGAGTAAAATATATATTTTTTTTCTACAAACAAGAATTAAATATATTTTTTGAAATCTTATTTATACTAATTTAAAAATGAGCTATCTGGATATCCGATTAATATGCGGGATAGCCTTAATGGGCTCGGGCTAAACAATCCGAGCTAAAAGAAACCCGATTTAAACTGGTTGAAAAAATAGGTTCTATCCTAGTTTTTTTTTTTTTTTTTTTTTTTTTTTTTTTTTTTTTTTTTTACCCTTTTAGTATTTCTAATTGTGAGAGGGTGGAATGGTGAATGAGTTCTATCTTGTATGTGTATAAAAAGTCATGCTATATTGATCATCATTAACTTTATAATACTTAGAGCCTCCAATAGAATGAATTTTACCTTTTAAGGAATTTTAATCGTATTGATATACCTATATAATCATATAATCACGATTATGCGTGACTTGAACCCACTCTAGAATACTTGTCCTCCCATAGATAAGGATCTAAAATTAAGTAATCTCTGCACCGTTATAGTTCCTAGTTACGTTCTCCTTGATAACTTAAATTAAATAGTTAAATGTGTCATGGAAATCAAACATCACAAAGGAATACAAGCCAAACATTTGCATTTGAAAACACTAAATAATATTACACCCTAAGCAAACGAAAAACGTGGAATTTAATTATTACAGCATCTTTCAAACTACTGAAAACAAACTGGGACTATTTTGGGCAGACAAGTCCCCATATACCCGTCCTCTTCACAACATTCTCCTAATTTCCCATCCAAACACAGCCTAACTCTAGAATTCTCCCTATCAACCCCAACCATGCTCAAACTTGCTTGAAAAATGTCTTTCAGCCACTCTCCAAACAAGTCGTTAAGATAAAGCCCGGACCCGCGCCGGACTTCCTCCAACAAATCCTCCTCAACGTCGAAACCGATGTAATAATTCGTAGCGTTTCGAAACGACCCCTCGATTTTTGACAACAACATTTCTCTTGCCTTCTCGTCTTTATCTGAGTCCCGGTTGAACGCAAACCGATTTTTGATGATGTTTTTGAGACGTGCGAGAGAGTTGGGATCATCATCACGTTCGACGGCCGTGATTTCACGCGTCAATTCGCTCGAAATCGAGCTCAAATTGCCTTGTTCTTCGTCGTGATCGTTAGCTTTTACGTTGAGGTCTAATACGGTCTCGACGCCGTTTGAGGAAACCTCTTCGACTTCATTGTGCTTCTTCCTTTGATTCTTGCCCTTGATCGGAAAATCCGAATCGTATTTTCGCTTGCTAATAAGGCCGTGTTTGGATTCTGGGGAAGCTAATAGTTTCATCGGGATAACCGAATAATTAGAACTCACGTCGCCATCAGTTGTCAAAACAAATATCGCGCGGCAAGAAACTTTCTTATGCACGAGAAACTCGACAAACTCTTGATCGGCATAATCGACATTCTCAATGAAAACAATGAGCTTGTCATTATTCCTCAATGCCATCTCCAAGATTGCGCGATTTTCGGCCACCGTATAGTTCTCATTGTGCCTCATGTTCATGCAAAACAACATATCTGTTGAGCCAAACACCGCTTTAGCTATCCCGACCGCTAACCTTCTCTTCCCGACAAAGTCATTCCCCTCGATCAACAAAACTTCACCATTTTGCTCGATTTCTCGACAACAATACTCCATTAATGAGTCTACAATCATAGGAATGGTTTCGCATTGCCAAGGCACGTTTTCTTGAACCGAGTCGCGTAAATCCCAAATTTTCTTGTGATCACTAGAGTTTCCGAGCGACAGAGTGATTTTGACGTCTTTACCCTCCGTGCGCTTAAGGGAATCCAAATTCGGTCCCTTTGATGGATTATTTTCCGCACTCCCATTGCTAAAACCGAAATCGACATGAGATGAATGTTGTTTTTGTCTGAACCGAGGCACGGATGTGGGGTTTTGGTTAGGGTTGAGAGATGGATACGAAAATGAAATTGTTCCGGTCAAATTAGGTACATCGTCGTGTACTTTGTTCGGCCAACATGGGTATGGTGAAGATTGGAAGTGATTTTTGCTAATGAGTGCGTCATATTTTGTCCTCCTCAATTGAGTTAAATCTACCTGAAATTCAAATTGAAAATCAATTAAAACCAGCCCTACATGCATACGAATATATATTAAAGAAAGGGAATAATTTTTCAAAAATTGGCATTTTGTTTTTGCTCAAAGTCCAAAAAATGTACCTTATTGCCATGGGGTTTGAGCCAATAGGGCAATTGGGCAGAACGACCATTTTCTTGTTCAAAATTTGATGTGTACTCTAGACAAGAAGTGGGAACATTATTCTCATGTTCCTTGTGGGGACAAAGGCAGCTTTTTGATGTAATTCTTGAATCCCAATAACTGCACATAAAAGAGAGATTACAAACACGATGTATTAGCATGCAAAATTGAAGAGAAAAATGAATTAATTTAGTCAGATAATAATAAAAATAAGAAAAAGAAAATTGATTTTCTTATTCCTTCATACAGTGAGTAGACAATAATAATATCACAATACACATTCTCACATTTTGGAGCCTAAATTTTTCCAAAGATTTTATGTCCTCATTTGAGGTAGTCAAATTAAATGCAAGTGTCACTATACAGAAGAAAAAGTGAAATAATCAGTGTAAAAATGTCAAGATATTTGGACCAATCTAAGGTGTGTCTTATAAAGAAAAAACATTCAACATCAGAAGCTCTAGACATCTTAACATATCAGTTTCTCTTTCACTATCAAATGCAAAATTGTCAACTTTATGAGCATATATTTCATACACATATAAATCAAGAAATTGAAATATTTTTCACCTAATATCCAATTCCTCTCAAGAGTCACCACAACCATTTAGCTTATATATCACTTGATAAATTTGATTTCTTTTAACATTATTTACAATTAGATTATAAAAACTCTAAGAAATCAAAATGTTATTAAATCATAATTATCGAACAATAATTATATATATGCCGACTCACCTCATACCATCGATGCTCGACCCTAGTCCACCCGACAACACGAAAACCGGCTCGAGATCCCATTGACCTTCCAAACTCGGTTTCTTCATCCGACATTTCGCGTACGTCTCGTTATCGGCCGTAGCCATCAACCAAACCCTAATACTCGAGCTCGAGTTATACCAAGATACCAACTTTCCAATCTCACTAACTAAATAATCAATTGGGTTTCTATAAATAGCACTAAAATCAAACTCCCTCATAACATGATCATAATCTCTTTCAATTGCCCATTTTAAATCCCCAATATAGATAACAACTCTCCCACCAAACCCAAAAGACTCCACTTTCCTCTTGAGGTCACCAACATTCATGTCAACTTCATGTCTCTTCATGAACTTTAGAGGAATTGTAGAGAATTGTAGCTTCACCAACTTGACCGATTTCAACGGCTCGACGGCCGGGACATCGCCTTTTTCGAACCTATCGATGAATTCCGAGACGACCCGTTCGGCCGAGGCGGGCGAGTCCCCAACCACAACGACGTTTTTTCTCGTTTTTCCGAGCAAAATGTTGAAAATAGCCTCGACTTCGGTTTTCGGTCGTGGGAAGAGGAAAGTAGGGTTTTTTATTCGGTCCTCAGAGTTCGATTCGATGTTGGTTTTCACGATGGTGCTCGAGAAGCCGGCTTCTCTCATGACTCGGCTCACGCTCGGGTCGTCAAGGATGGAGAGGACGAGTTGGTCGAGGTCGACTCGGACGGGAACGAGGCAACTCGGCGGGTGGAGGAGGTCGTGGTGGGCTCCGCCGGCGCCGGCGGCGGAGGATCGGCGGTGGTGGGCTTGGGCGCGTTTGAGGGCGGCGGCCATGGCGTTGGAGAGGGTTGGGGG